AGGAGTGATACACCTGCTGCTGTCAGACCTGCAGGTGTCAGGCTGTGATGTTCTACTTTATAGTGGACAGAAATTATTTTTTGGAGTGGCACAAATAATTTGTGTGGCATCTTATTGAATGCAGAACAGCTGATTGTTCTGTAAATATTTTGAAATGGTTATTAAAAAAAAAAGGTAAATGGCTGCAAATAACTCTGTTGTTTGCAAAACTTGTGCATATGATTTTAAAATTGACAATTTATATTTGCATTTAAAGTTATAAAATATGATTCAATAAACATGTTTGTGGTTGTTACAGTAAAAAAAAAATTTTTTTCTACTCGGATTTTGTGTTTTTTGTCTGATTTTAGATCAATTGTGTTAATACAGTATGTCAAAATGAAAATATAACTGTAAATTCAGACACGTGAGGTTGTGCTGAAAAGGATGATACCAAACAAGGCAAAGTAAATAGTTTTTAAAGGTGAAATGTAGAGGTAAAATCAAAAGTAGTCAAAAATGGCCAATTATAACCTGGACCCCAGAGGGTTAAACATTTTTTTTAAAGTAACGTAATAGTTACTTTTCAAGTAATTAATTACTTTTAGAATCTTGTAACTCAGTTACTAACTCAGTTACTTTTTTGAAGAAGTAACTAGTAACTATAATTATTGACTTTTTCAAAGTAACTTGCCAAACTGATTAAATTACATCCACAGTGTGTCGTTTTTCCTGTCTCCCTTCCCTGACCCCAAGTCGGTCACAGCAGATGGCTGTCCCTCCCTGAACCTGGTTCTGCTGGAGGTTTATTCCTATTAAAGGGAGTTTTTCCTTCCCACTGTTGCCAAGTCCCTGCACATAGGGGGTCGTCTGAATGTAGGGTCTTTACCTTACGATATAAAGACTGTTGTTGTGATTCAGCGCTATATAAATAAAGTTTAATTCAGCTGAACTATATTTTAATTCATGGGGCAGATCCTAAAGACAAAACAAAGCATCTTTTATGCTTTCCTCTTCCTCCACTCAGAAATAAGGGGAAGGGTTTTGGCTATATTTGGTCTGGACACCTTTTGCAGCATTGATGGCTTCAAGTCTCCTACTATTGTCCGTCAAGCTTAACACATCTTTTCTTTTGAAAAGATTATCTCCCATCCATCTTGGCTGAACAGTTTAAGCTCGGTCAGGATTGTCAGTGAGCTCCCATTGTCTAGTCTCTCTAGAGATGTTTTCTTGGGCCCAGATCTCTTGATGAGCTACTTTTTGACTTCTCCCAAACTGTTAGCTGTTTTCTGGGAACAATATTTAGGGATTTAAAATGTGAGCTTTTGTTCAAGCTGGACCACTTTGGAAAAGATGTCCAGTCCTTGTTGCTTGTTGAAAAGCATCATCATGTTGAATTATTTTCCTATGAAAAACATGTTGCAACCAATCAGAAACCAATACTGCCCATATGGAAAAGAAATAAGAAAAACTTATTAAAGACTTGCATCAGCTTTGGCTTGCTTCATATAGTGAATCATATAAGGATTATATGATTTACTCATGAAAGTGGCCACTTTCTCATTACTTTCATATATTGTTTTAGGAAGTATCCAAAACATACAAGTTTGATTTATAGAATTTTTCAAGGGATCTTATATCTGTTTTCACCCTGTATGCTTTTCATACAAGTTTCACACAAGACAGATACAAACCTTATAAGATTTATATATATCTTTTCCATATGGGTGTTGCCACGCTTACGCTTCCCAGCATGCTTGATTTCATTCCTGCCACATGAAGCACCAAAATCATCTGTAAAATCCCTATAAGACTAAATATTTTCATCAATGCATCAGTCACTGGGGTCAATTGGGGACTGTTTATTTCCACGCAGTCCAGTGGTTTATTTATGAAACAACTAAACCCAGTTGTAGAAACACATATCCTATTCTTCTTCGTAACAGTCACTGAGGCTCACTAACACAGCAGTTTTCAGTGGTTTAAAAGTATCTCAGACAACTTCCCGAGTTACTCATTGAGCTTAACCCTTATCCTCTATCATTGTGAAAAACCACGTCTGCTTTTACTTCTGCTGTTGCTATTATTTCTTTGTTCTCAAAAGTACTACAGACTTGCAAAAACAACATATAATTGTCTGAAAAGGAAAGTTTTTCACAGGAATCTAATGTGGCCCTCTAAAGAAATCCAGCTAATCAAAAGCACTTTTAACTTATCACCACTAAGTGTGAGAATCTCTGGAGCATTCAGGTGTGTGTTAACAGAATACCATGATCTTTCCAGGATTGTACACCAGCAAACTCACCTCAAGGTCAGAGAAACTGGAAAAAACCCACAAGCTACATCTCAGACTCCGTAGGCCTTAGCTAGCATGTTAAATGAAGTTGAAGTTCAGGACAGTACAATCAGAAAAAGACAGGCTGAGTATGGCTCTTCTCTCTAACCCCCCCAATACTTGAACACAATAAAAGATGGACCTGCCGCGGGGCTCTGGAGGGGAGTCTACCTACCTCACCCAATCGGTGAATTCTGCTCCTCTGTTTACTCTGGCAGGTATTCAGAAAACCCGGTATTCTTCACTTTTCTCCTTGTTTACCATCTCATACTGTTTCTAATGGGTCTCCTATGAGGTCCAGAGGACTTGTGTACCTCACTCCCTGCCAATTAGCCCATGTCTTTGCCATGATGGCCTTGAAGCGATCAGGTGGTCTCTGTCTCCCACCAGACAGAAAAACCTTTATATGGAAAACTCATATGAGACATTTACTCTTGTGTTATAAGATGTATTATAAGACATGAGATACATTTCCTGAGGTGTATATATACACTTCTCTATATAGTTATAGTATAGTTTTCCACTCCAACTTTATTCACTTCCATACATCAACTGAGCATATCGCACACAAACACAACAGAACCACTCCTCCAAGCTTGGGTGTGAGTGGAGCCCTCTAGTGGGTCGCCATACTAACATGACGGCGCCACAAAAGGGGAATGACCGGGTGTGGGGGACCAATAGACACGTCGCATAGCAAATGCGGACCACCTCCCCACACTGGCGTGTCTTCCAGCATGAGGCCCGGAAAAATCGAAAATGTCCCGTTGCAAGATGCAGAGCCAACAACTCTCTGTTGAAACTATTGTACTTGCGCTCAGCGTCTCGGAGTGTGCAACTGAAAAAGGCAAGTGGCTGCCAGACGCCGGAGACTTGCTGTTCCAACACGTCACCCACCGCTACATCCAACGCGTCGGTGCGATCTCTGCTGATGGAAATGGGAGGGCCAGCAGAACTGGACGCTATCCGGCAACGGGACCACACCATCAGCGGTGCCCCAGGAAATCCAGGACCAGCAAACCTAACTGGCACTTGGACGGGTTGATGTTGAGGCCGTGCTATGCCAAACGCTAGAAAACCTGGCACAGATGAGATTTGTGCTGGCCCGCCGAGCTGCTGGCCACCAATATATCGTCCAGGTAGACAAAAACGAAAGGCAGCCAGGCAACTCGAACAAGCCAAATGGGGTGATGATGGCAGTCTTTGGAACATCCTCAGCACGTACCGGCTCTTGGTGATACCCCCGCACCAAATTGATTTTGGAAAAAAAATCGAGGTTCTGGCGAGATGAGTAGAAAAGTCCTGGATGTGGGGAATTGGGTAACGGTCGTTCTCTGTAACGTTATTTAAACGCCAAAATCCCCACAAGGTCGGCACCGCCCATCCAACTTGGGCATCAAGTGGAAAGGCCCAGGCACTGCTTGAACTCTAACATCAAACCCTGAAACACGTCCCTGGAGGCCACTAAATTGGCCCTCATGAGGCGGCCGCAGCCTGGGTAGTGAAAAGAATGACAGAGCGTCAATCAAACGCCTGTGAGCAATGTCGACTAACAGCCCGTTGGCACAAAGAAATTCGGCGCCTAAGATAGGCACCGAGCTGGTATCAACAACAAAATTCCACTGGAATTCCCTGCTGTGGAAAAAAACAGTCACTAACCTTTCTCCAGAAGTTGCAATAGGAGAACCATAGCCGCAATCAGCCGCAGTCTGTGGCCTGCCACTAAACTGTCCATGGCGGTGGGCAGGATGAGGCTCTTCTGGGAGTCAGAGTCTACCAGAAAACAGTGCCCAGAGAGTAAGTCTCCAATGAAAAGCAGCCTTTCCATATCGTCAGCAACCGCGACTGCTACGGCGCGGTGGCAGCCTTGTTTCCCTGAGCCGGAAAAAGAGAAGGGTGGCAGGCAGCGACCCCCTCTGGTGCCAAAACACTGCTGGTAGAACAAAATCCTTTCCTGCGGTGCCTCTGTGTAGCGGGTCCTGCCATCAGCGCCAGCCCATCCGCTCTTGAGAAGGCAGGTGGGGGTGTTGCCAGTGGGTTCGCAACCAGGCCGTGCACTCCAAACGTGTGGGAATCCAGCAGGATACAATCCCCTTCTTCAGCCAGGGAGCGGTACTCCTGCGCCACTAGAAATGGGGAGTTGGCGAGGCTGGTCCTCACAGCGACAGGCAGTTGTCTGAGAAAGAGATGGATGAAAAGGAATCCCCCGTCGTCCGAACCGAGCAAGGACAACATGTTCTCCATCAGTTCAAGAGCCGCGCCTCCGCCCAGGCCAGACAGGGAGAGAAGTTTCTTGGCTCGCTCTGCACCGGAGAGGATGTATTGGCGCAGCAGTAGGTCATTATGGGTGACATATTTACCGTGCGCGGGCGGGTCCAGAAGGAGGGCCATCGCACGGCGGGTGGCTAGCGGGTTGAGTGATGCCACCACATCGCTCAAACCGCACATGACCCCCACATGAAATTTGTCGTCAGCCAAGATGCTGTGGAGAGCAAACAGAGCCTCCATGTGGACGAACGATGACGAGGGGTCGTGGAGCCAGAAGTCCACCGCCACGGCAAACGTAGCCGTAGCATGAGGCAGAGGGCCGACAGTAGCTGGTGCGTCCAGGGCGATCTCCATGGCCGCGTGTTCAAGGTAGAGTCACCAATATGGAAGCATGGAACACACGACACAGGAGCTTTAGTTTTCCACTAAAAATGTATTTATTTATTTATTCTCTTCCATACATTAACTGAGCATATCGCACCCAAACACAACACAACCCTTCCTCCAAGATTGGGTGTGAGTGGAGCCCTCTAGTGGGTCGCCACACTAGGACCTTAAGAGAAAATCTCAATGAACTGAAGCAACGTTGTAAAGAAGAGAAATATGAGAGACTGATAAGTCACACAGAAAACGAAAAGGTGTCTCAACAAGCTACAGAATCACAAGGTGTTCTTAGCTCTTATCAGTGAGCCTTGTCAACACTTCCCTCCTCACATGATCGTAAGCCTTCTAGGTCCAAAAAGCATTTAAAAGAAGAAGAAATTAAGGCATAAATGAAAAAACACCCCAAACCACTCAAAAGTCCTGCAGTGTTGAATAACAACATGTCTCTTGGGGTGTCTGATTTTAATCAGAGGACCAAGAACCGCTTCAGTGGACGCTTCAAGCTCGGGACACGCAGAACAGTCCATCTTTGAAGTTAGCACATTTAGTGCAGTTAGCAGACCCCTGAAAGTAAAAAAAAGAAAAAAGAAAAAGGTTCATTATGTTTACGACTCTATTGAGAGCAGTTATAAATATTTGGTAAATTACACTTTCTCATAGTAATAATTTCTCAAAGCAAATGTTTGGCAAATACGACCCGTGCAATCAAGATCCATGTTTCTTTTCTTCTTTTTTTTTTTTAGTTCAGGCGAGTAAAAAGACAATTCAATGCACTGATCACACCTGAATAAAATAGAGGTAATTAAATACATCCCCCAAATCTGCCTCCCACTGTCTTTGTCAGGTTGTGCTTCTGTTTTTGATAATTGGAGGGTTTATTTCCCAGTTATCAAAGTAAAAGAAAAAGAAAACAACCAGATTGCACATTTTGTGGCTGCGCTGCATTACAGCCGATCAAAGCTGCTGCTGACTGACAAATCCGCAGAACTAACGTGTCTGGATTGGATTTCACGCTGTGCAAATGTTAATCTCTTCTAAGCAACGCTCACTGAACTGTTTAACACAACTGCAAAGTGTTTTGTTTTGTAATATTAGTTTAGCTGCTGATGGCAAACATACAGGCGCGCTGCAGGTTGCAGTCCCGTTCATGGGCTGACACTCGGGGTGGCACTTGATGCAGGTTTTATTCACAGCTGTCTCGCGCGGCTCTCTGCAAAAAATAAATAAATAGACAACAACAAAGTATGACACAACTTGTTTGAAACTGTTACATGTGTTTTATTTATTTTTTTCAACTGTAAGCACGTCGAGATTCTTTGTTGGACAGAGGTCTCCGAAGATAAACAGATGTGAGCGACTGTGTCGTTTCGCCTCCAGTGTTTGTCTTAAATCCACTGGAGACTGAATTTCAAAATGCTTCGGATCATATCTGCTTTTCTTTTTCTGTCAATTAACCCTCAGGCTCGTGTAGCGTCAAAGTCTTGGAAATACAAAAATAGACTCTGAAGGAGTGAACTGTACAGCATGGAGACCTGTTGTGTTTTTAGCTTGTTTGTTTTTCAAAGCTTATTAAAGGCAGTCAGAGAGATGCCTCCCTCACCCCTCCAGGATGTTGCAGGAGTCGACGCAGCTCCCGTCGCGCTTGTAGTCGCGGCATGAAATGCACATACTGGGGCCCGGACCCCAGCAGCCGTCCGCCGTGCACTTCTTGTCGCAAGTGTCGTTTCTCAGAGCTGAAACCTAAACACACAATCTTAGCGAGAGCTCTTTCCTGCATAATTATCCAATTTTGAAATTAAGATCCTGTAATTAAATCTTACTCGTGCAGCGCATAATCAAAAGCAACAACAACAGCAAAGATGCGACTGAAGCCGGTGTGAGACAAACAGAATTTACCGCAGGTGGCAGCGTTGGCATTGCCCTCTATATTAACAGTTTGGTGTGGTGATTTGAAAAGCTTCTGCCAGTGCTTTGCATCGGTGTAACAGAGTTCAGAGTTCTTAGAGACAAACACATCTCCATCACTGATTTCTCTGAGGGACCTCAGGCCCAGGTGGGTGATATGTAGACCAGCCACAACCAAACTGCGGCTTCCGCTACCAAATGGGAAACGAGAACAAAATAAGAAGAAGAAGAAAAAAGAAAACATTTTGTGACGGGTTGAATAACACTGCGGTTTGAATCAACAGGGGGTCTTTACAAGGAACATACCGTTTAGTTCTCCCCCGAACGACCTCCAGATTCTCAAAAGGACTCAGTGAGCTCATGGTATTTGGCCATGTTTGAATCCACAGGTACCCTGAAGCAACAAGGTTTGTTAACCTTAAAACTGTTTAGATGCACGCATTTAGATGCATGACTCAGCCCTTACGCAGTCTTACCAGTAATTTCTTTAACTGTCTTAAACACATTGAGCTGGGCAGGATCCATCTTTGGTGTTTTGGTGAATTGATCCCTGAAAATGAGAAAATACACCGTACTGACTGCTGGTAAAGGTGATCGAGCACAAAGGCAGCAATGTTAGTCATAGCCCAGACTTACCCATTAATTGATGTGTGGATGATGGCGATGTTTCCATTGATTTTGGTGCAGTTTTCAAAGGAGCCGATGTTTGTGGCATTGATAGACAGAACGTTAGCCAATTCTCCTATTCCAAGTCCATTACACACTAAAAAAACATTTAAAAAAATACTAGTTAATAACAATAAAAAATAATCATAATAGTTTAATAATAGTTTCTCATAGATTTTGGTCCATATTAGTGTGATAGCATCACACAGTTATTCCCGATTTGTCATTTCAGTACAGCGAACTCAAAATGTTTCAGATGATTTGAGTTTTGTGATGTGAAATATTATCTCGCTAGAAGCAACCATCAGAAGATGGGAACACTGTGGTCAAGGGGAAGACATGGTCAGCGGCAGCATTAATTGCATAGAGATCTGCAGCTAACTGGGTATTTTCTCTGTGGATCAGCAGTTTCTGAAATACTCAGAGCAACCCGTCTGGTGCAATCAAAGTCACTAAAATCTTGCCCATTCTGATGCTCACCTCAGCAGGTCATCTTGAACATAAGCCACACCTAATGAAGTGAGTCAGTGCATAAAATATAGCCTATAAATTTTCACCAAATCAATAATATTTGCTTTTTTATTCATCTCAGTTGTTTAAAATTCCTCTGAATATACGTAGGATGCATGACATGTCTTTGAAATCGAAATCTTATGTGCATTTAGTGCATGTGTCTAATATGCATTCATCATAAAGATTCAGGAGTTACATACATTTTAACAAGTCGGTGCATAAAATCTGGCCTATGAGTTTTCACCAAAACAATGCCATTTGCTTTAAAAAAAAAATCATCTCAGTTGTTTAAAATGCCTTAAAATGACTGAGTTTAATAAAAATGTTGTTCAGTTGTATCTGTGTTCCTCTGAATATAAAACCAAACAGAAATAGCTTAAGGATGAGTGACATGTCTTTGAAATTGAAATCTTATGTGCATTTAGTGCATGTGTCTAATGTGCATTCATTATAAATATTCAACTTGGCAGGAGTTATATACATTTCCATTAGAACTTACAGTGTGGTAAACATGCTGCCGTCCCAACTTTTTGAAGACGTTTGCATCAAGTTAAAAACAATGAAACATCTGTTTTCCTTCACTCTTTTCAATTAAAAAGGGTTAAATTATTTACAAATTACTGCATTCTGTCGTATTTACATTTTACAGCTTAACCTCTGTGAAAACAACATAATAAGAAATTGTTCTTAGCGTAGCTACAAACAGTTTGTTTTTTGTACATGGTGAGAAATATTTGTCCAGATTGCACAGTAACAGCTTATCTTCTTACCTTTTGGACACAGCCCGTCACACTTGGCGCACTTCCTGATTCCTCCTACCTCCACCTCATATGTGTTATCGTTGCACGTCCGCACACATGCGCCGTAATCAGAAATAATATAACTACCTGAAAGAATATGAAAAATATAAGCTTCTGCTGCTGCTGATAATGATAATCTCATATTCATCATGCACTGGATAGATATTAAATCATCTTAATATCATAATAAAATATCTGAAAAAAAAAATCCAAATTTAATTAAATTTTTTGCAGGAAATAATCATTTATTAGTTATACAGCTGTTGAACTAGCGATGCATAATGATGATATAATATAAACACAGAAATACAGGGACAGACCTGTGCAAGTTAAAATTATTAAAAGCAGTTGTTGCATTAACACACTCTCAATCATTTTCTTTTCTTGTTTAGACAGTTTAAAATTAAACTTTGGACAACCCTGAAAGACAACCTGGGCAACTGTTCAGCAAGTCAGCATGCCGCAATGTGGAACAAAAGGTTCATGCTGGCGACTGGAACCCATATTTTACTTTTATTTATCTTGACTGTCGAGTCATAGCTACAATGCACATTTAAATGTATGCTAACCTAATATATCTGTCTAGGATTAAAGTTTAACAGAAATAGGTGAAAAAAACTAAAATTAAACAAAAAAATTTATCTGGTTAAAGCCGGCCTTACGTGGGCAGCTTTTGACACAGGTGGCCCCGAAGCTGTACTTTCCATGCGGATTAGGAACCAGCTGGTGCAGGTTGGGGTCGTAACGATGAAGGCCTGGGCAGGAGTCCTTACACACCCCATTATCCTGGAAGTCCCGACAGGCCTGCAGCACAAACAAGCGTCATCTAGCACACTGGGACCAAAACAGAGCCCTGCACTAATGATAACACTGCATTCCTTTATCACAGCCTTGGCTTAATACTCATAGCTGCACAGAGAGGCAGAACAGACGCTGTTAGTCAAGGCACTGCCAAGTGCAAGATCTAATCAGACGCTCCACATCTCATCATCAGAAGTTTGTTATTGGTTTCAGTAGAGATGAGACTCTCACTCTCTAATGTCTGAGAATGAGAGCTTTAGTCTGTTGGAAGGTCTTCTTCAAGAACTTATGGAGTAGCAGAATTACGTAGTGTAGTGTTGCACTTAGGAAAAGTTTTTTATTAGTTTTGGTGACTTTGTGTTGGTTTTTGTTTGACTGGGAACCTTAAAAAATAGGCATATTCAGCCTGACAAACATGTTTTGAGGTCGATATCTGTGGGAGACCACAGTGGTAACATTGCAAACAAATACACTCACCGGGTACACCTGTTTAACTGCTCGTTATTTAGTACATTTAGACATGTAGACTTGGTCAGGGCGACTTGCTGAAGTTCAAAATGACGAAGAAATGTGAGTCAAGAGACTTTTTCTTCTTGGTATGAGACAGGCTGGTCTGAGTAAATTAGGTCCTGCTGATCTACTGGGATTTTCATACACAACAATCTCTAGAGTTTCAAGAGAATGGTCTCAAAATGAGAAAATATCCAGTGAGCAGCAATCATCAGTGCTTAAAAATACGAGATTGGAGGCCAGGTTAACTCAAATAACCACTTGTTACAACCAAGGTATGCAGAAGAGCATCTATGAACGCACAACACGTCGAATTTTGAATCAGATGTGGTATGGCAGCAGAAGACCATATCGGCTGCTACTCCTATTAGCTAAAAACAGGAAAATGAGGGTACAATTCAAACAAGGTTCACCAAAATCGAACAAAAGAAAAATGTTGCCTCAGAAAAAGTCTTGATTTCTGCGCCAACATTCAGATGGTAGAGTCAGAATTTGGGCACAAACCACATGTAAATATGGATCATTGTCATCGGTTAACAATGACAGTGAGTTCACTGTACTGAGATGACAAACACAGTAACCGTGTGATGCTATCATGTCAGCATGAACCAAAATCTCTGAAGAAAGTTTCTAGTACCTTGTAAAATCAATGGCATGAATAATTAAGGTCGTCTGAAGGCAAAAGGGGATCCGACCTATATTAGCAAGGCATAACTAAAACATTGGCTGGTGAACACAGGCCTTGGTCACATGTTTGTATGATATCACACAGTAACATTAAAAGTGCCTTTGTCTCACCAGACAGTCTTCAGCTCTGGGTCCCGTGCACCCCGCGGCACAATGCTCATTGCAACAGTCGCTCGGTGAAGGTCCTTTGCACCTCTTGGAGCACTGCTGGGCACAGTTCAGCTTTGTCACTGGAGATGAGAGCAGCAGAAGTTGAGTGGAGTGTCCAAGCCCAGGAATGAATTTGTTCTTCTTTTGATTCTGATGCCCTATCATCACCGTGCATTACAGTACTTTAAACATGTTCAAATTATGAAAAATTGGAGGATTGTGCGCACAGATTTGTTTTACCTTGCTCTTGTTTGCAGTAAATAAGCTAACAATTAATAAAACAGTGCTTACAAGTCTGACAGTTTTCAGGACCAGGTGCCCAACATGAGCCATTGAAACAGCCTGAGTCACATTTTCCACCTGTTGAAAAAGAAACATTGCAAAGCACCAAATTAAAAACCTTTTAACTCACAACAAATTATATCTCTGTCTTCTGGTGTAAAGTAATACTTACAATTTTTGTTTTTGCTAGGAGTTGGATCAATGCTGATGTTTCCAACATTAACAATATCAGACCACTGGATTGTTTCCACATTGCAAAGCTGGTTGGTCAAAAATTTTACTCCTCCTTTAAGAATTTCTGCAAAAAGAAAACTTCATATGAACTACTACGCAAACATGCACACGTTGGAATATTTACATAGTTTGTAATAATACTGAGT